TCAAGGTAAGCCCCCAAATCAAAAAGGAAGACTGAACACAGTCCTTGGCTCATCCTGGCACCAATAACCTCAATGACAAACCACAGCAAATGCCCAAGCCATGCATGAAACTTGCTGCCATTTGTTTCTGCCTTCTGAGCTATATGTACTGACAGCCTCCCCTCGACTCAAACCCCCGTTTGCTCAAGAAGAGGCATTGATACAGACTGCATCGTTAATTTGGCAATTAAAAAGAAAATCCACTTTCAGGCAGGAAATGATTTTTTTTGAAAGTCACACACAGGGAAACTCCTTGTGCAAGGGAAAAAATACATTGTATCAAACTTCTGAGTCAGACTTTTAATTCAAGGCGTACCGAACGTACAGCACATGCATTTCCCTGTACAGTCACTATCTGACAACCATAAAAAAGGCAACAAAACAAAAGGACATTGGAGATCATAGGCCGAATCAAACTACAAGGGCAAAAGAGTTGCCTTTCTAGTGATGTGTACCCTTTTTTCGTTTCCTGCAGAAGGTTTACTTTTAAGACGCTTGGAGTAGTTACCATGTTCCGATAGATTTTAAGCAAGCTACTCATTCGCTGCAATATTTTCCTCTCATGAAATTGAAATAGGCTGGAAACCAAGGAGATTTGGAACCCCTGCAGTATCTGATGCAATCCAGCTACAAGCAAAAGACTTGACGGCTGGTATCCAAATCCTTTACGTTATATTTTCTTGCATTGGGTGTGTTCCTCCCCACCTCCCTCTAGGTGGTTCTCCCGCAGAATCTCACTCAGGAGGGTCACCCCAATATATTAACACTGCTTTTATTTATTAGGTCTTCTGCCAACAGTTACAGGAACACAGACACTTGGGACTGCAAAGTCAAAAACTGCAAACATAAAAGTCAGAACCAAGGCAAAAAAAATGCACAAATGCAATAAAGCAAGTTTAAATACAACGTTCTGGAACTTTTTAATCCAAACCTTTTTTTTTTTTTTTTTTTTTTTTTTTTTTTTAAATAAAGAGGTGTTTATGATCTTACAGTATTTTCTTTTTGGCCTAATCCAAGAATTTCATTGCTCTTTACCAATCTTAAATTCCACTCATACAAAAAAATTGATATTCAACCTTTAAAATATAAGCCATTATTTTCTTTATAAAATAAGTTTTGTGCTGCTGCTTGTAAGTACTGTACATCAACTGTTCATATCTATTTAACAAATGGACCATACAAAGTTCAAGCTAGCAAAAAACAAAAAAAAAAAACAAAAAAAAAAAAACACCCCCCCAAAAAACCTCACAAGCAACACAAAACCAAACTGAGTGTCTTGTGAACATCCTATGTACAGTTCAACACTTGCTTGTATAAAGGAGGTACAAAAGGGGTTAAAAATTGAACACAAAAGCACTGGAATCCCCGTCAGTTTTCTTTCACAACTATTGAAGTGCAAACCACACACAAGATATGAATTCCACTTTTTTAAAAATTTTATTGCTGTTCTGCTGTCTGGCTTCCCCTCCCAAAAGAAACGTATTTGTTTACTTGTACTCATTTTCCAAGAAAACGCTTTTGTGATGCGATCCTGAACACTTAATCAAGTGTTGCACATCCCAGAACACCCTGTGCCCTCCTTAGGTTCTTTTGAGAGGTATGTTCTGCCCTCAAGCACCCCTTGTTGTTCAGACATGAGCATGAGGTCAGCAAGCAGCATTAAACAACTGACAGAAATGAACTGCATGCACTTGGCAATGTTTCCAGTTGTAAGAGGGACACGTGCATTTTCAGAACGTACAGACTCGGGAGTCATTTAAGATGCTTACGTGGGCCTCGCGCCCAACTATCAATTGTAATAGGCATATGGATTACACATCTATCGGCTATGGGTAGTTAAAAAACGCACAGCACCACAACATGCAGTTATTTGTTTGCATTTCAGACAACAAAAGGGCAGAAATACAGAATGCCGAAGCCTTGTGGAAGGTACAGTGCATAGTCCATTATACAAAACAGCCGTTAACTTCTCCAAAATGGAAACATGGTTGAGGGCACAGCAGCTCTAGAATTTGGCATTTGTATTGGTTCAAAAATGGAAAACCCAGCACACACAGGGTGAAATAAGGGCAGAACATGATCTGCAAGCTTTCAGTTGAGCGTTTCAGGAGCTGTGAAGCTTTTGTGTAGTTATAAATTGCTGTTAAAACTAGGTGCTACATCAGTGAGTCTTCATTCATAGGTCTCTATGAACAGCCACCTTTCGAAGGAGTGCAAATCTTAAGGTCCATTTTACATTTCAAGTCTCAAAGTTAAAAAGAAATTGTTACAGAGCAACAGGTTGTTTCTGTAAATGCCCACGCTATCTCACTTCAAATGGTTAAAAATGGCGTATGCTATGCCATAGCTTCTAAAAGATACGTCGGAGTTCTAGACCCAACTAAAAACGTGAAAAAACTAGAAACCGAAAGCCTGGGCCCTTGGCTACAAAAGAGCAGCCAGGTGCTTTCAGTTTTAATGCTGGTGAACAAACTGATTTATGAAGGAAACCTTGACCTAAGCAAAAGGTGCGGAGAACATGCGACTTAAACTCAAACGGTATCCTTAACGAAGAGTTCTTTATGTCAAAATGGGTGGGTTCAACCCCGCTGAGGGATCAACCCTGCTATCTATGGGTACGTGCTGGAGTGTGGAGGATGGAGTGAAGAGGTGCTGAATGTGTGTCACTATGCAGGCACTTGTGTAAAGGAATGTAGGCTTCTCTTGTTGACACTTAGTGTTAATGCATTCCCTACTCTCTAACATCCCCCTCCCTCCCCCAAAGCTGGCTACCCTACTGAGGAAGAAGAGTTCCTGGCTTCCTTCCTCTGGCACCTTGCAGATATACAGCAGTGGAGTTGCACACAAAGTGCAAAGGAGAATGTGATCCAACACTGTAGGCTTGAGGAGTACAACTGAGCTATGTTTCGAATCTTCGCACAACGTGGCATCGGTGGGCTCAGCGCTTGGATTGCATAGCATATTGGTGTCTTACTTCTTCACAAACATGTTGCCCCAAAAGAAAAAAAAGAGTACAGTGAAGTTACTGGTATCAGAACAGAGTGATGGGTCAACGTGATCTCAAGCTGGTCTTAGCAAGGCAAGTCTCAACGTCCAAGTTATGAAAAAACCGTGTGCTTATCGTAATGTGTACTGGCTGAGGGCAGTGTCTACGTTAGACTTTAAAAATTCATTCACTTTGGCAGGAAAATGATGAACAGAACTGCTCCCCCTGTCAGTCCGATAACAGTGTAAAAAAGTTCCTTCTCTTGCTGAAAGGTTTTAGTGCATGCTTTAATATTAAAAACTGATAGCCTGCCCATCTGATATAGCCAAGTAGTCACTGCTACCATAGCCTTGCCATGCTGAATGGTCAATACAGCAAAATGAGTTTGAAAAGCAGTTATGTTACTGCTGGGGTGGGGGGGAAAAAAACAAAACAAAAAAACCCACACACAAACCAGGTTCCTTCCCCCGCCCCCCCATGAGAACACAAATCAATAGGAATTTCCCCGTGATAGTAATATGCATTTCATTTTTTGGACTAATGAACAATCTGGCATTGTTTCAGATTAAAAACCCCATGCACAAAAATCAGTAACATTGTGATACAAAAAGCAGCAAAACCCTAGCAGCAGAAGCTACCAAGACACTTTGAACATGCTGGAGTTGGGGCATATAGTAGTTGAGAGCGCAGACTGCCCACAATGGCATGTGATGGATGCACATGACAAATGGAAGATACACAAGAGCATTAAAAAAGAATACCCCAAGGCTGCACAGACTGCAGTTTGCATTACACTCATTGGACAGGAAGTACTATAAATCTCTGGCATGAATATACAAAGTCTCAGGAAGTGCAGTGATGTAAACTCTGAGAATGTTAATGACTTGTGTATTTTGGCAACAGACTCAGTATCGTATAAAAATAATGTTTAGTAAAAAAAATCCCAGTGTCCATCATTATAGAAATTCAGAAAAAAAAAATATCAATATGGAGATTTCTGTCTTCATGGGATGAAGATGCCCCCATTTGTCAGAAATGGAGTTTTAAATAACAAGGTAGTACACTGGAAACAAAAAAAAACGGGTCAGCAGCTATTAAACTTGTCCTATATGAAAGTGCACATCTTTCAATGGAGTTTAACCATCATGAGGTTGTGATATAACAAAACTGTAACTCTATGAACATAAAATCAACTCCTTCGGATGGAAATATGGACCATCACCAAGACAAGATTACTATTTTTTTTTTCCTTACAAGATAAAAACATTGAAATTTTGCAGCATCATAGTAAGGCACTCACCCACGGAAAAGTCTGTGACTGTTGCTTCAAATGGCAGCAGCTAACTAGCTTTTAACACAAGGAAGACAATTTTCATCAGTTCTGAGCTAAGTGCTAGGGTGCCTTACGTTATATGGGGGGAAATTATTTTGGGGGGGAAATGTTAGTGTTAGAATTTTCCTAGAAACTAGTTATTTTTTTCTTCTCCTCAACCCATTAAAGCATCTGGTATCCTAAAATATTAGTTTTATAAATCTAGTCTTCTGTTTAAGGCTCTAAAAATCCCTCCCCCCAACCCCCACAAAAAATACCTACCAGCGTCTGGCTGGCAATGGAGGACCAATCCCACTATTTCACAGTCAGAAGTCTATAGTATTGCATTTTAAAATGAAAACCTGCTTCCGTTTTGTGGGAAGTTCTATCCCTTCCTTAAAACGCCTTCATTGGTTTGGTCAGGTTAAAATTTGCAAAGCCAGAAAAATTAAAAAACAAAGAACAAAAACCAACAACAAAACAAGACAAAAAAAATTTCAGTCTCTTCCAATATTACCAAGGTGTCCGATTTCTCTCTCCACGTGTGGTGTTGGTCTCCTGCCTGAATCGACGCTGCCTGCCCTGCAGTGATTTCTTATTGGAAAAAAACAAGGTGTCCCAATGCTTCCGTTTTTGTATGGCTCCTACAAATCTGAAAGCTTTCTTGAGTGAGGTAAAAAAAAGTTAGGCTTTCAAGCAAAGTACATGGTACGTAAAGTGTCCTGATGAACCTGCACAGCCTTTGCCAGGGCCTGGGGATCTCGCCCGTTGCTCTGTCCGGATATATGGCTGCCCTCGCCACTGAAAGTGCAAAAAACACACCATGATTAATACATGCATCTACAGGGCCCATCAGAGATTGGGCCCTGCTGTGCTAGGGGCAGCGCCACACACAACAGTGACCATGTCAGCACAGGAGAGCACTGGGGAGTACCACAAACAGCTGCAGTGGGTAGCGTGACCAAACCTACGAAGATCAAAGTAGTAAGCAGTGGGCATGGAAACGGCATATCCACTGTGCAGGACCTGGAGTCCCATCACCCCTCTCAGTCATCACATAGGCTAGGAAGCCTCTAGGTCCCACACAGCAGAAAGGGCTGGAGTCAGTGCCTGGGGTCAGGCATCAATGAAAAAATTGCACCACCCCTGCCCATTGATCCAAAGTAGGCAAGCACACCAGCAGGGAGTCATGATGGCAGTGGCGGCAACAAAGGACTCCCTCCTCCACTCAGCACAAGTACTGCAAAGCCAGCTTCCAAAAACCCCTTTGCTGCTCCAGGACAGGGGCCAGCTGCCAGCAAGTCAAAAGGCAGGACCCCAGCACAGAGTACTGCGGAGATCCTGAGCAGTGCTGCAGCCTACAGGTGCCCCAGGGAGGTGGATGGAACCTAGCCAGATCCCCACAGCTCATTAAAATTGTTTAGGGCCACTCCAGTCCCTACAGCAGCCCAGAACTAGGGGGAAGAAAAAGGACGACTTAACATCTGGCCAGAGAATTCTGCATTATGCCTCTTGGACAAAAAACAGCCAGTAAAAAATCATTTCTCTGAGTCTTGCAAGGGAAAGGGGTTTCCTGTAAAAACTAGCTCAGTCAGGTTCCAGGATAGGCTTTCAGACCCCAAAGCCTTGCTGTTGCCTGTACCAGAGAAACAGGGCATGAACACACACCACCCATCTTCTCTCTCTCACCTTGCTCTCTGCCTGCCCTTAGCCAATGCCAGACAGACAGACACTGCAGCTCCGAGATTCTTTCCACACCCAGACCCTCGCTCACCTGTCGTGCTCTTTGTCCACGAGGTGGTATCGTGCCCTGAATGCCACTAACCGGGCATAGTATGCTGGTGCTGGGATGGAGACAGAGCGGGTGCACCGCACATAGGTGTGACAGAGCTGGTACGTGAGGATCTGCAGCTCATCCGCTGTAAACCGGTTGTCATCCCAGAGGACGTAGTAATGGGAAGGTCTGCTCGTACCCTGGGGAGGAGGGGATGCGTTGAAGGTGCCACCAGCTTGTCTTATGGTCAGAGCCAGCAGCAGGCAGGTGGGAAAACCTCGGTGACCTGCTCCTCCCCTGCCCACCCGATCAAAATGGGGATCAGCAAAAGCTCTGCACAGGAGATGAAGGTGGCATGGGAAAATGCTTGTTGCACATGAATGGGCTACAAGGCACTTGGGGAAGCAGGTGGCCCAATACAAGTCCTCTCTCTTTGCAAGATTATGCAGAGCAGGAAGCTGTGTGATCCAGGGGCTGGAGGAGTCCTGACAGAGGAATCCTTCTTTCCCCAAGACAGAGAGCATCCGACCAAGCAGCTCAGCTAACTTGTCTCTTACATTCCTCTCCCACCTGTACTATTTGCTCTGTTAAGTCAAGAGGTCAGGTCTGGAGCAATGCAAGGCAGAAGTGCTTTCAAGTTGCTGGATAAGGGAGGCTGCATGTAAGCCATTATTAAAAGCAGCTGCTCAGTCCAGCCCCTGTCCACTGTTGCTATGCCGGTGATTGGGCAGCAATGAGCTCCTGACCCTGCCCATGGTACCACATCACATACTGCGCTTGCCCAGGAGCTGCCTACAGCTCATTAACGAGGCTAGTGCCCTGCTGTCCTTGGAGTAAGAGAGGAAGTCTAAATGCAGGAAGCAGCTGCAAATCAGATAAGATGCTGTTGCCCACATCTGCCAGGGCAGTTTCTGGAAAACCTCAGCCCTCTCAACAGCTGTGGAATCAACTGATGATAGCTCTGTGCTAAGAATCAATACAAGGGAAAGATTTCCAGACCCCTCCTGACAGTGAGCAATGCTGCTCAGTCATTCAGAGGAAGAAGAAAGAACAAACACTGCACTCAAATGGAACCACAGGAACCTATGCAGAGCTCCCCACACTGGATTCTGGCCAAAACTCTGGGAAGGAGGCACACCAACACCGCTTGCAACTTCCAGTAACAAGGGAAAGAAGCTGGACAGCTTCACCCCGGAGAGCTATGGGACACGGTACCTGAATGCCTGCATGACTGCAAAGGTAGAAGTCGAATTCAAATGGGTGGGTGATGTTGGTATCCACAGTTGTTCCTGCCGGGATGTTGCCACTCTTGCCAATCTGCAGAGATTAATAACAGAGATGCAAGCACTCCATTGTCTGGTCGCCTTGGCTGCAGTGCTGTACAAGTCACCCCCTCCTTTGCAGAATCCCACGGGCAAAGATCACCTTGCTTTGTACCAAAAAAGGAACTCTAAGCCTTCAAGTCCACAGTGTAACTGCTCAGTTCAGTTACAGAGCCATATACGCCTCAGCTGCGGGGTCCACTCCTTTGAAGAATGCCACAGAGAGAAGACCTTTCCTGTAGCAGCCACACATGGAGTACTTGCTCTTCAGGGGTGTCTGCAACCCTCCCCTGCCTGGTGCTTCCCTAAATATCTCTGAGTGGGAAATGGGAGAAACTCTGGCCCTTCAGACAGGAACAAGAGAGACAAGCAGACTGGCTAGGGGTCTCTGCTGTCATTGAGGTGGCTATGGGGAGAAGAATGCCACAAAGCGATAGTAAGTCAGAAGGTGAAGCGGGGTGGGCACAGTCAAAGTGCCAATATTTGTATTACAGAAAAATGGGCTTTAAAGAACTAAAACATTCAAGCCCACCTACAGAGCATTTTCATTAGGTTCATGCACCTGTGCCGTGGACACAACCGCACTGCTTCTGACTCCGAGGCCAATTAAGCCCTTACTTCCACGGTTACATATGTGCCCTCAAATGGGGCCAGTGCTAGGATGGATCTGGCCATCAAGTTGGGTGCAACAGCAGCACACTGGGTATCACCCCAAATGGCCGGGTTCAGAACTCAGGCACCACAGCATGTGGCAGATCTGAGAACCAAGAAAAGAAACTGGTGCACACACACGCTCCGCTCAAAAAGCTGTGCTTACACACTACCCCTACTCCCCAAGCTGCCTCCCCCCTAATTCTCCATCTGAATCTACATGCAATTTCCCAGGTAGAGAAACGCTTGTATTTTCAGTCTCACAGGTGCCCTTTAAACACTGCTTAGGAATGCAAAATACAAGCCAGCAACTGCCTGGATTTCTCAAGCTGGCACAACAGGCAGTGAGATCTCTGTTGTACGTGATCTCATCCCTGAAAGGATTGCTTCCATTTGCTGGCACTACATATGCTACTCAGGTAGGCCAGGGGCCTCTCCTGGAAGACCAGTCAAATCCCCCAGACCCCAAGATTAAACACCCTCCTACCCACACATTTGGAAGCTCTCACCCTCTCGTTCTTGTCTGCACAGAAAAGGCGGGTGTGGTGCCGTTTCTGGACAACTATGTAGGTGATGCCAGGCTGATAATCCTTTTCCAGTTTGATGCAGGCATCCCGGATTGCCAGAAGCTCGTAGTGAAGAATCTAGAGACAACAGTGGACTGAATGAGAGTGCACTGCCTCTTTACCAGAGGGTCTGTGTTGTCCCCCTCACCATACCCAGACACTGTTTGAGCCAGTCAAACAGGGAGACAGCTGTACATGTACCATACACTATTGGGCTGGCTTCTAGTGTGCTAGGTTTCTCTAAATGCAGTTGGATCTAGAAACTGTGCTGCCTTACAACCAAGTACACTGTAGCAGATAAGTATCACAAACTCCTCATCATGTGCATGAAGAAGTACAGCTATTTCATGATGATTTCCCCTCCTCTTAAAAGCAAACATGATAAGCTGTTAACCACCACGCTGACAGCTACCAGGGCACTTCCAGGTCTCATTTTTCAAACCCAGTCTCAGGATGTTTCCACTGTAGTTCAGCCATCAGTTGCGGAGCCACCCCCATGCATGGGCAGCACAGTTCTCGTCCCCATCACGGCACCTATGCTCAGAGGTGGTCTCAGGCCCCAGTGCACCTGGCAGCATTTGCTACCTCTAGAAAAGAATGTGCCAGATGGGAAGAGGCAGATGCAGATCCCTCCCCTTCTGGCAGATGTGACCCATCACTGAGGACCATTTGCTATGGAGACCAAAGAAAGAAGCCATGGTCAGGACCACAGGTGCCTGCTAAACATGGAAGTTCTTTGCACCTGGGGCTGTCACAGTAAATCCATCTTTGTGTGGCCCGAAGCCACTTGCCCAGTTTCAGCCCAACCTGTGTTTGTTCTTCTCTGAAAAGCTACCCGGGCTGCTTGCCTCCCCTGGGGATTGCACGAAGAAGCTTTTTTGATTGCAACCTGAACAGGGGTGCTGGTAAGGAAGTGACTCAATATTATGGCTAGCTCTAGCCCAGAGAATTACCTCTGCCATTCCCTGCATTCAAGGGTTACACTGCACACATAACAGAGCCAACTGTAAGCTCAAACATCCAAGGGAGGTGGTTTTGGATCCTTGATCTTACCTCCTCTGACCACGTGTGAGCAAGGCACAGCAGAAGGCCAATGGGTTCCTTACCTGCGGGAGCTGCCCCTCGGGAACCCCGTCCCGATAGAAGATGATCCTGGTGGGCTTGAAGCGGGTGGACTTGTAGAACTGGATAAGAAGTTCCCTCACCATGTATGACAAGTCCTCGATAATCTCCTGTCGTGGTCGCTGCACACGCACCGTGGCACAGTAACGGCTCGGGTGGGCATCCATGCTGCCCACAACCTATAGTGACAGAAAGGAAATGGGCCACGCTCAGGAGTTACAGAAGAAATGGCAAGGGGTGACAGATTAGTTTTGCTGCGCAGCTGCAAACAGGGACAACAACAACCTAGCCTCTTAGCTGAAGCACCATGCCCCTTTCTTCTCAAAGAGCTCAAGAGATACAGGATGAAAAAAGCAGGGACTGCAGAGAATCAAGGTCCAAAAGGAAATGCTAACTGCTGCCGTCTCCTCCTTGCTGGCTTGCGCGGCACTACTGGGACAGCCAGGTCACTGCTGCCTCCCTCCCTTTTGCCACAGGGCAGGACTGCAAAGCACCTATTTTCTCTAGAGGCATTACCGCCTGTGGGACTAGGACACAGGAGATCTAGACCCTCCACCCCAAGCTCTGCCAACCCCAGGGTGATTTTGGACTGGCTAAAAAAGTCACCTCCTTGTTGCAGACACATGGGTCCTGATAGCACTGCAGAGGGCTCTGAAGTGGTATTAATATAAGTAAGCATGGAACAGTGTTGATCAGTTCCCATATTGCCCGTCTACAAATACATCTGAAGTACTCGTCCTTCCATTCACCTTCCTTTTTAATGCATCAGCAACAACCGCCATGCCCCCTCCCCCCAAAAAAGCACAGAACCACCAACATGTAATGCTAAATTGGCAACATCATTGCTGCCACCCTCATCTCTTCCTTCCCCGCTCTATCACCCCTGCTACGTGCAGCCAAGAAATCATGAACGGCTGCTCTTGTCCATGCCACTGTAGGCTATATCAGAAGCGCCACCTCTGTTCCACCACGTTTGGGATGTCACGTGCTTCTGTAAGGGGCTTGGAGTTTCACAGATGGAAGGAGCTGTACCAGACTGATTATTATTATACCACTGAGCCAACAGGAGAGTTACATCCAGACAACACAGACCTGTATTCTTTATGCAAAGCTGCTGCAGCTGTCCATGCTTAAATGCCTGTTTAATATATGTCTCAGTGCTTTCCTCTAGCTAGGTTCTCACCTCAGCTCATCCCTAGGTATCCATACCACATGGCAGTATTTAAGCCACGTAGGAAAGAGCAAGAAACACTTCCACCCAGCAGGCAACTCTTACTTGGCAAATTAAAAAGTAAAACCCCTGCCAGCTGCAGTTCACCCCCAGTTCTGCTCCCCATTGACAAACTGTCCTGAACAAAACCAGGCGAACAGAGAATTGTGGTGCCTGGGAAACTGGGGCATCTGCCCCCACTACTCTTCACGTTACCCTCGTCCTTTCCTTAGGAGAGTAGCCCCATGCTCCTCGTGGTTGCTAGACAGCAATCCTCCCAAGGGCCCATGAAGAAGCCATGGGGTATTCAGCGAGACCATACTCTTACAAGCAGAGCCTGGAAGGGTCAGGGGCAAGGAGGCCTGAGCAGCCTTGCTCAGCTGTGATGCTGTGCGAAGAACAACATGAGTCACCAGATACTATGGAACAAAGCTGCCCTGGGGTTCAGAAAGGGACATGGTGGCAAGTCGTGTCCATGGATGAACTGGAATATTTCTTCCACCCATCAGGAGCAAGCAGCTTCCATATCGTCACTTCCCAGCGGAAGAGCCAACTTCCCCTCTTCACAGCTCCATGGCTGCGACGGGTACAGGTCAGCAATTGGAGTGGCCACTGCCAAGAAGCTGCCGTTGGAGAGATGTTCACAGTTCCAGACAACTGCAGACAGTGCTACAATGCTGTACTGGAGAGGCACTCTGAGCCAGAGCACAACTAGTAAAAGGGAGAGAAGCTGTGAGTGGCACATTCGTTCCCTGCGAGGGCCCAGTTGGTCTTGGGCCTACCACCCCAACTCCTGTCTGAAACAGCTAAAATCAGAGGAACCTTCGGAGCACTGTAGGTTCTCCTCCCCTTCCAGCCAAGAGAGAACTCTAACTGTAGCAGATGGGGTTATCTCCGAGGAGAGTGGATCACAGGCAGCACGTGTAGCGAAAGCCTGCCCATCTGTCTGTGCTCCCTTTTAGAAAGCTTCTGTAAACTGAAATAGATTCAATGCTGTCAAAAGGCATCTTTAGCAGCAGAACCAGAGGCCAGGACTCCTGGGTTCCAGCCTCAGATCTGTCGCTCTCTGCCTTGGTGATGCTGGACAAGTTGCAGTGAGCCTCATTTTTTTTCCTACTAGGAAACAAGGATACCAGTGTGCCAAGTATAAGAAATATGCCACTCTGGGAGAGGTCTCTGAAGCAGGGATGAGAGCTGCCTCCCCAGGGTGCTTGAGGCACAGTGCTATGAAAGAGCAAAGTACTGTTACTGCACATCCAGCACAGGAGGCTAAATCCTCTGTGATTGTATTACATGTCAGCAACACCCAGACTGCCTACCATGCCTCTGAGTTTCTCCTTACATTTATATTCTGCTCTTTAAGGGCCTGACTGGTAATGTTAAAAGAGCATTTCTCACCATTTCAGTAAGCTTTGGGGGTCATGCTGTCCCACTGCACCAGCCTACTCCAGGTTTGAGGCACTGCCTGAATGATGTTGCCAAAACTTGAGATTAAAAAAATATCACAAAAATGATGCTTGGTCCCAGCGCCCAGGGATCACATGGCGACACAAGAATCAAATCTTTCATTTTAAATAAAAAGTTAAGTCCCTAGTAGTTCGGGTGGTGGAGAGAGGCTTGGAAACATGGCCCCCAAAAGCTCAAACATCCAGGGGCAACGGGTAGAGAGTGCATGAGGGTAATGCACCCCCTGAGCATGGCAGTGCACCCCCTACAAAAAGGTGCCGCCAACACTGTCAGCGGTGCCTGCGGGCAGTCACCGCTCGCCACCCCGCCGGCCTTTGTGGGTGGTCAGCAATCCCCACTGGCTACCGCCAACACTGCCAGCAGTGCCTGTAGGTGGTCGCCGACTCCTGGTGGGCGCTCGCCACCCCCACCGCCAACAGTGCTGGCGGCATCTGCAGGAGCCCCTCGCTTCCTGCTGCTGTGCTCCTGCCACTGCCATGCCCCCCCAACCGCCAGGGGCATAGGTCATTCATGCAAAAACCCAAGCACAAATAAAGAGCCCCAAGTTTATATTTAAGACCTCATGACTTAATTGGGGCCCTGACTCATGGCTTCCAAATGCTCAGGACTGGCAAGGTTGGGAATTGGTCCAGACCGTCTTCCCTCTGCACGTAGCAAAGAGCATGAATGCAAGGTATTTAAAATAACACACGTGTAGTAGCTAGTTCTCTACAACCCAAATCCTGGCCTCCCTGAAGTGAGACACAAAAATCCTGCTGATTTCAAAAGGGCACTAAATTTGGGATTAAGCCACAAACTAGAGCTCCCCTGCTGCTTCAGCTAAAAACTCTATCAGGTGCTTAATCAAATGGCATTTTTTACCTACTTCATTAATACCTCATATGCTATTACAAGTCAAAAGATTGCTGAGGCTGTTCCTCCTGCCCCAATCCACCTACGAAGGCAAAACCAGCACAGCTGAACTCCACAGCCCCTAATGCTGCCATGCCAGGGCTATACACACCACCAGAAAAGCACGGTGAATCGACACACAAAAGTTCTCACTGGGATTCATCTCTACTGCAGACACATTTTCACTGCCTTTAAGGTTTTGCAAAATCTCATTGAAGTTTCATTTAAATTTTGAGGCATATTTCACTGGCAAACTCTCCCCCTAGACGTACATTTGCAGGAAGCATTTCTTAAGAGGTTCCTCAGTCTTTCGAGTGGAAAACAAAACCACTCGAAAGATGTTGTCAGTAACTGCAAAAGCCATAAAACACCCAGGTCAGACAGCCTGCACTTGTCTCACCCACAGCACTCCCTGCCCCCTTCAGACTGAGGAGTAACTACTAAGACAATGTGTGTGCATGCCCAGGAAAACTCGTGCTGTGAATCCCGTGATGCTCAGGGTTTAATAAGGACTCTACTAACATGCTTTATTGCTCTTGCCAGGCCCCAATATCTTCCTTAAGTTGGACAAAACACATGGTATCATGTTAAAATCCCAAGCAAGTTATATGCTGCCATACAGTCAGGCTGCCCCATCACCTTCCCCTTGCACTCTGGTGCCTCAGCCTAGCAAAGGTATCCAGCACAGCAGAAAAGGCACTCCTGTTCTGGTTGCGTTCAAGGTCAAGCTTCATTCTAGGCACTTTAATACCCTGGGTCATGGGCATGTGGGAGGAGTACAACATGCTTTCTACTCCCCCTGCGCAAGAACTGTCTTCCCACTTGGCTGCAGCTTAAGTTGATATCTTTCCCCACAAGATACAGGGTCTGGCCTGGCTCACACCTGAACAGCAGGTCTCCAAGGAGAGCCCAGGTGCACAATAAACAGTACTAGGGATTCAGTAGCAGATGTTCTTCCATCTGGTCACAGGGCCAGGCCATTTCATGGACAAGGCAATCAATGGGACAAACTCCCTGCCACAAAGGGCTTACCCACACAGATCCCTTTCCCAGGCAGAAGTGGGCTCTGCATGTCAAACACAAAACCATGAGGTACTCCCAATAAAAAGCCAACTCGGGAAATACCCGGAGACCTCACTTTGCAAGATCTGCATAAAGCTGGATCAATTCTAATAGTCTAGCCGTAGACCAAACTGCAAACACTAGGCTGCTGGATCAAAGGATGGGCAAGGTACACTGCCCCTGACCTCAGATCCAGCTAAGAGCCAGAATTTGCCACCTGGTGGTTAACAGCAGCACCCATCACACCCCAAAATTGGAGAGGTCTTGTACCAGCATCTGAGGCACAGAACAAGTCACCGTCCACATCACTCGCCTACGCACGTCTCAGCAAAAGCACAGAGGTCCACAGTGGTCCTCAACAGCCCAGGTGAGTGCTTCCATCACGCCTACAAGCAGCTCTGGTCAGCACACAGGCAATACTTCCCCCTTGGCCCAGTCTACAGCAGAGGAAGCATCAGCCTGAGGCTTTCAACAGAAAACTGGGGTTTTACATGGGTCCCTGTTGCATGTCTCTCAGGCCCCATCTGCTGGTGGCTGCCAGAAATCACTCCTCAAGCCCCCTCCAACTTCCTGGCTTCTACAGAGGAGAAAAATCAACCCAGCACCTGCAGCCCTGGGGAAGCTCAGAGGGCTGGAGCCAGCACTCCAGGGACAGTCCTTGCTTGGATGCAAGGGCATCAAGTGGTAAGTGCAGCCTAGTAGCTCTGAGATTCCCTGTGTTGCTGAATTTGGGTAAACCCCAGTCCAGGGAAAGTGAGACTTGCCCCCCCACATCCAAAACAAATGGCCCCTTGTCCCTTGCCCCCTCCCCATGCTCGTCCCTTGCCAGTGACGCATGTTGCCAGTGACGCCTGGGGCTTACACCCACCCCTCTCCAAAACGCAGCTAGAGATAGCAACACCACCCCGCTCCCATGGGCCAGAAGGGAACTCACAGCTGTGATGGAAGGCTTCTTCCCATCTCCTGCTGGCGGGTGAGTGACATCAGCTCCGAGGAAAATCACTGGCTGCTGAAAGACGGCCGAGCTGGTTGGAAAGAATAGACAGCAGAAGTATTGGCTCTGGTTTAGAGTCAAACTGCACTGGCATTAGCCATTCCCAGACACTGATGGACATGGAGTGACAGAGTGTACTAGAGAAATCCCCCTGCACTCAGACTTGCCTAGATGTGACAACTAAATCAGAGAAAGGTTTCAGCCTCCTCTTAGAGCCTACATCTGCCTTTGCTCAAGGCACAACAAACCCCACCCCACCCCTCACAGCCAGCTAGCCTCAGGGCTTTGGTGGGGGGAGGGAAGTCTTTTGTGAAACCATATTGCTTATCAGTTTGGGACCACAGATACCTGCTCACCAGATACCCAAAGCCAAAAAGGAACGCTGCTACAGACTAGAACCAGACATTTAGGCCCCTACCCAGCAAGAGCTTAGACATGTGCTTAGCTTTATGCACAGTGTAAAAGCTAAGTATGTAGTCTCTCTCTCATAGCCCACCCCATCTGCATGGGAAGGAAGTGCTTAGGTTTATCTCAACCTACTATATACATTAACTTTAGTGACCAAGGGGGAAATACAGAACCAGTTTTGTCAGGGGTACTCCTTTCTGGAAGAGTTTACACCAGCCTTCTGCATCTGTTCTCTGGGTTTATTGAACAAGCCACCATGAAGGAACTATTCTAGAGGCAGGGCTCTTGATCTACAGAGAAGAGTTTCCGTTTACCCTTCCCATGCTAGAACTAGCTCAAGAAAATGTTGAGACTTGCTCTTAGCAAGTGAACTCTGGTGGACATCCCAGCTTGATCCTGACATCCCAGGGCTGCAGGGGTTGGGAAGAGAAAGCCCAGTGGCACTCTCCAGCAGGAGCACCCCTTCAGGGCTGTGCCCTGCTCTACCACAGCAGAAGAGTTGGGATACAGGGCCCTTAAAGCAAGGGAAAGCCTATAGGAACAGAGGAAGGACGTGCCACACTACTGACAAGGGACATGTACATACCGCTGATGAGGCACGAGGATGTTGTTGATTCCACCCAACTTGACATTGATCTTGAGGCAGAGATTGGAGAGGGTTTGTGGAGAGGTCTTCACCACGTTCTTGACCTGAACACACTGTGTGGCCATCCCCAGGAGCGTGTCCCCCACACGCTTTACCTCCGCTGCGGGCACAGACAGAGCATGAATAGCCTCCAGCAGCAGCTTTGCGTAACTGGACATTAAAGGGAGACTGTGGACAGCTAGAAGAGGAAGAAGGGGACTCTGGCACCAGGATTCCTAGGTTTTATTCCCAGACTCAGCTGCAAGGGGCTCCAGGCAATTGGCTTACCCATCTATAAAGCAGGTACAATTATTCTCCACCCACCTCATTATTAAGCTAGGACCTCACGTATGTAGAAGACAGAGGTCCTGAATGCAAGGTAAAAACCACCCGTATCTCCCTTCACCCCTGGCTTTTACCTTTCCATGTATTTGACTATGACTTCATTTATTGCATTTCAACCTCTGGGTGCTGAAAGTTTGAGTGTAGTTCTGATCTGTTAATAAGCCCAGGGCTTGCGAGTACAGTTGCACAAAAGTCTAGGGCTGAAAGAGACCAAACCTGACCTCCTGTATTAGCGCAGGCTAGAGACCTGTCCCCCCGCCTCCCCCCACAGTGATTTCTGCAGCAAGGCCATGGCTTCTGGTTTAGCTGCAGCACCTTTTGGAGAAAGGAGCCATCTAATTTTAGATGTAAAGGCTTCAAGTGATGGATGGAGAATCCACATGTACCTAGATAAGGTGTCTCAAAGCCAGTACACAGACACGTCTGGGAAACAAATGCTGCGGGGTGGGGGGTTGAGTCCCAACAAAAAGTTATTTTCACTGGAATCCTCTTTCAGCATGAAAAATATTGCTATTTAAGGTGACAAATTATCCACCATCCTGGTTATAAGGGATGAGGCAGGACTCACTGCAGAACATTCAATGTAAATCGGTCCTCAAGCTGGGAGGGGACGTGTCATAGGAGGAGCTGCTTGCACAATGGCACTGTAGAGACTACAAGCATTTCTTGTAGTCCATCCCCTATCCCGGGGTGTCCCTCACAGACATACCATACACGGGTGTTTTCCCTGGTAGGATGACAATGATGAGCTGGAGCCCTGAGTAGGTGTTTTTGAGGTGTCGGAACATGGGCTCCACGCTGTCTGCGCCCTGGGCGTATTTACAGAAGCATGGCTGTCCCTGGATTGGCATCCCTGCATCCTTGGATATCTTGCGCAGCTGGTCTGTGAAGTTCCTGCACCAGGACAGAAAGCACAAGTCAGTCCCTGAGCAAATTCTTCCTCCAACCTACACTGTTGCAGCTGGCACACTGCAGCACAGGGTGGAAAAGGAGCCCATTCCACTCCCCTTGCTCTGGTTAACCTGTGGTTTTCATAGGAACCAGCATACCCAAGAGAGATGGAAAAAGGAAAGGGTACCTCATCCCAGTCCTGCACTCAGCATGCTTAGGGGCGAAGTGCAGAATGGCTGGAACAAGCCATTGCTGGCTGAATGGCTCCAGTCCAGCAAAGGTCTCCTTGCCTGCACAGCTAGTAACTTGCTCTAACAGGTGAAGGAGTTCTCTTGAGTAAGATCACTCTATAAAACTGATCTGGGCTGGTAGAGTTCCATAATTTTGCCAGAGCTGAAGCAAATCATTCACCTATCACTGAGCTTCAGACATTTAAGTGTTCAGTACATGCATGCGGTCAGATTATTGTGTAATGTTAAGTTTTTTATTTGCTTCAAACAGCCCAGCAAGGAGCCCCATAGCCCACCAGCTCCAGCTGGCTCTGTTATGCTGCTCTGCCTTTTTGAGGTTACATAATGACAACCTCCCTTTTATCAGCATCAACTCAAGCATCCCAGCGACTCCATTAAACCTGTTCACAACTGTCCCAGCTATTGTAGCCAGTGGCCATAGCACGTTTACAGCTCAATGCTGCACCAAGAATTTAAGTGCAGATTAAGGCAGTGGCCAATACGCAAGGAAATAAGGCCAGCAAGCATGCAATTTGGAGCTGGATTCATGTGGGAATTCACAGGGAGGATTAGTCCCCAATACAACCCCGTCACCAGCAGCACTGCCAGACACAAGGCCAACTATCACTTTTCAGTCTTACCAGATTGTTTACCGGGGACAGAACCCAGGAATTTTCAAGCCTTCCCAGAGGACAAGAGTTCAGAAGCTGACAGTCCGTGTTGGGGCTTCTAGAGACATGCCAAATAAGCAGCCAGCTCTGGAGGGTTACACCACATTGCCAGTGCACCCCTGCCCATACCTAAACAGCATCATGGATGATGCACCCCCAAAGGTTTAAATGCTCAGGAGAGCAGGGGGGGGAGGAAATATACTCTGCCTTTTTAAAGAGCCCTTCTACCCTTAGATGAAGGCAGAAACAGCCCTGCTGCTTCATATTCCACAGCACAGAGCAGACCACCAAGGTTGAATCTTCCTTAATAAGGTAGACACAGCAGGAGGCTCAAGTTTAGAAGGTGCTGAAGGTGCTGAAGGGGGCAGAAGGGAAACCCAGGGGCTACACTGAATTCCAAGGTAAGCCTGAAACCAGGCAAGAAATTCCCATTTGCCAGACAGAAGGCGACAAAAGCTGACTGTCAAACCCTGAGGAGTACAAGCAGAGAAGTTTAAATCTAAAAGCTTCCAGCTACTAAAAGAGGAGCAGGGGATTGAGAAAAGCTGGGTGGCTCTTTGAGAAGTCGCTTTATTCAAGCATCTGGGCACACTGATGCCTGCTCTGGCTTTCCCCTCCCCACTGCCACTCCCAGCTCCTTACTTCAGCACCTCTTCTCGACACTGCTTCTGAGGGGCAAAGCATGCGATGGCCCACACTTTGATCTCAATGCCGTTGTAGAACTGCTTCCCGCGCATATCCCACACGCCCTGGTTGGGAGTGGCGATCGCCCGGTTCTGCAAGGCAAGCATCCAGAAGGAGTCAAGTCACTGACAGACAGCTGGCACCACAAACCCAGATCTGAGGTGCACTCTGCCCAATAGAAAAGGCAACCTGTGGCTTCCCCAAGCCTGTCACCCTGGCATGGGAAGGAATGTAGCAACATGGCTTCCTGTAGAGCGATGGGAAGAGCTCGATCCCACTATGGTTAAGGTCAGAAAAGAACTTAGAGAAAAACCTTTCCAGTGACCAAGTCACAAAGCCTGCCCCCGGCAGCAAGCTACGTGCCTTGGTCAAAGAAGAACCACTCAACTGCAAAAATTTCCCAGCCCTTCATAGGCTTTTGGAACTGGATGATCAGAGGCTTGGAACCCGGAAAGGCCATTTTTCCTCTTCCATGAGCAAGTCAAACCTAGTTTGGACTGAATGCAACCTGAGCTCATTCCCGTCTGACTGCTGAGTGGCCTTGTGTGACGATTACCTCTTGGTCTCAGAAGGTTCTGAGGCCCACATACAATGGGTTGCAGGAAACCAAGGGGCAGGGATCAGCACACGGATAAGCTCCAGATTTTAGATCTGGATCTGCGGTGGGGAAAGGCCAAAGAATTCATCCACAAAGCCACCTGTGGCTTTGATTAAAGCACCTTTTGTGCTTGATTTGGGAGAAGCCTTCTTTTAAAAAGGAAGGGAAGGGAGGAGAACGCAATAAGCTCTACTTGTACTTCAATATATTCCTGATGTGTGAGACCAGGATTTGCAAATGGATTTGTTGTTGTAACTATCCAAGGCTGCTTTGAAAATCCCAGCCTTGAAACCCCAGTGTAAAGATTAGATGGTTTGCTTCTGTTCTTAACGCACCGCACATCAGTCCCCAAAGCAGTGAGTGTTCCAGACTCCAAATTGTGACAAAAGGACTTCCCAATGGTCTTGAGATGGACAAACATGTGTCCATGCCAAGGTGCCCCCTGCTTACCCGTCCTCCATACTGTAGGATTGGTGCAGGAAGGACCCTCCCAGTCACCTCCGTCATGTCATCCTTCACCTTTATCCCAAACTCCTGTATGTACGGATCTAGGTTGTAACTGGCATTTTTCATCTAGAGGAGAAGAAAAGGCCAGGAGGAAGGATTAAGAGAGACACCAGTTCAGATCCTGACAGTTAACTATTTAGCCCCTCTTAGGAGAGCAGGACAGATAGGTACCTATGCACACACTCAAAACTGACCAGACTGATCTCACCAAGAGTGGCCTGAGCAAAGACAAGGCTGTTGCTCAGAGATGACACTGTTGAACAAGGAGAGGAAAGCAAAAGCCGCTCTAATGCTCTGAAACTAAAGTCTCTGGCAAGGATTTGAAAACAAAGGGGAAAAATCTGCTCAGTACTGACCCCAGTGGAATAACTTTGTATTCATTCCAGTGCAATGGAGAATAGAAGTTAAGGCTTAACAGGAGAGGTTCAGCCTGGCAGAAAACAGACATTAAAAGCCCCAGCAGAAATATCAGTACTCACCGGATTCTGGAGCTTGGAATCATATCTTAGAGTAATGGGCCATGACCTGATTCCTCACCATGAGCCAGCTACACTAAATGCTCTTCAGCTCCCTGATGTGCTGACTTTCCCCAAGAGTTAAGCATCCCTTCCAGCATTATAGCATCCTGACCACTGCTTTCAGCAGCCTGTCTCCAAGACGGCCAGCAAGAAGTACCACTACTGAAAGCAAGCCTTACCCGTGAACACTATCCCTGCAACTCTCAAACCTTCCATTCACTTCTTAGCTCTAGTTTCTTCTGGTTTGAGTCCATCAATGACAAGCCCTGAATCAGGTCCCTGCACCATGTGCAGTTTCCATGATCACTCAGACTTGGCTTTATTGAGTGCAAGTTTACATTCAGACAGATTTCCTCTCTACATTCATTGCATATTACTAGAGGAAGCAGACTGTGCGCCACTAATTCCTTTTGAATGGTTTATAGTTGTTGAGGATACTTAGGGTGGCCAGCTTTGAGACAGCCAGGAACAAGCTCAGCAAGACTGTATGAAAAGACTCAAGGTATATCACTAAAAGATAATTCAGGGTTACATTCAGGGTTAAAATTACAGCAAATGTAGCTCGCTTACACTGCTATAGGAGGAGACAGATGTAACAGCTAAATGGCAACAGCTGAAGTCACTCCGGAGCATACAAGTCCCCATTCAAAAACAGTTTAGGTTACAGGGGTTCACAGCCATAATGTGCCTATTCTGTCACTCATATTAGGTGACACCCATCCCCTAGAGGACTCTCAGTCCTCTGGGTGAAAGCTCCTTTTTTCTCCCCACACAGCTCCTCCTAGAAGGAGGCCAGGGGCAGGTGCTACATACCAGGCGGCTGATTTCCTCTTGCCTGTCCGGGGCGGACCTTGCTGTTGCCTTTATCATGGTTGACGTCTGATTGTCTGTTAGCTTCTTGATGCAGCGCTGGCCTGCCACAATGTTACACACCTGTAAGGTGGAGAACAGAAGACAGCAAACAGGAGCATGTTAGAAACCCGCTGGGCAGCAGAACCACATAACCTACGCCCACCCCATGCGGCTGAGCGCGCGAATGATCCCTGCTACAGCCCTGCGTAACAGCTGGGCCCTTCAAGTTTGAGGCTGACTGGATCTGCTGCTTAAGGTCCAATGCCACCTCCCAAAACCCTTTCCAAGATGCAGTGACTATGAACTGATCCCCCCTGTTCCCAGCCTCAGCCAAGAGGCCATAGGAGAGCCTCAGGCCCAGGATGCAGGACTGGCACTCACCTCCAGTGGCAGGTATGTGTGCTTCTGTTCCTGGCCAACCTGCAGACATGGTAGGTGGGGGTATTTCAGCTGCAGGTTGTATTTCTGCTTAAAGTACTGAGCCACCGTGCACTCCACAGTCTGGCCACTCTCCAGCTGCAGGGGGAACCTGGAGGAGGGGGAAAAAAACAGCTAAGGCTGCATCCAGTCAGATAAGAAACCTTAGATATTTCTGAAGCCCAAGGCTGGGCTGGGGCGCAGGAAGCCAACAGCTTCCTGATAGCAATGACAAAGGAGTCAGTCAGAAAGCAAGAGGTGACACTTATGAATGTCAGTGTAGGTATAATCTGACCCTGGGCTTGCACCCCACATGCTCCTCTCACCAGCCATGTTAAAAACAGGGCAAACCTTCCACTATGGGACACCATGGCACAGGACACGGAAATACGGCCAGTTACAGGGGGTTGCATTTGCTCAGCCGCCCTTTGCAGCAGCATAGCTGGGCTCAGAGACAGATGAATTTCTTTCTGCTTGCAACAGGGCACTAGCACAAGAGAGACCAGAAAGGGGGACTGCAGCACTTGGAAACCACTAAAACCTGAACTCCTGCTGCCAAGAGATATCAAGAAATGCCATCTCACTGAGGACAGGAACGTGCAACTTCCTTGCTCCATTAGTGCTAGCTGTTCCCCAGCTCCATAAACGGTTTCAGGAGAACTCAGAATTGCCCCAGTATTCTCAACAGGACCAGAATTAGGACACCACACACGCTGTGAATCCCTTGTGCAGGCAGCACGTTTTCCAGCACTGGCCCAGGCTCTCTGAGTCAATGGTTCAAATGGAAGGGACCTCCAAACTGCAGATTCTAGAGGAACACAGAAGCTGACTGGGAGCAGAGTGCTGGGTGGGGTAGTGAAGCCTCTTGTATTGCATCCTGGACCATGCACAGAAGCAACCTCGAGCCGAAGTGGCTCACATCCAGAGGGATTCGTGGAGCTGAAGAGAGGAGCATGGGGGAGATTTGCTGGGGAACTGCACCCCTTCCAAAAGGATGCTGCCTTGCCCTGGATCTGTTCTTCCCAATGTTTTGCATGTCATTTTTCCCAACACAGCAGACAGCTCTATGGCGAAGTCAGATGAAACTTAATGGCACTGATGCAATGGTTAGGGCTGGTCAAAAGAAGAGAAATACTAGGAGGGAAAGAGTTTCTCCCCCAAGGTTTTCTTTCATTGTGTCCATTTTGTGTATAGCAACAACCAAAATAATGTGGTTTTCAAAAACAACTGCTGTTGATCGCTCAACCCCCCCCTCTTTCTCTCCCCCCTAAAAAGCCCAACCCAGTGGCACTACCCAAAAAAGGCAAACTTTCTTTAAGGCCAAATACTGTGACCAGCTGTAACTACAGGACAAGATAGGCTGAGGAAGCAATGACTGAAGTGCTGACCTAATGCAATACACATTTAGGCAAATAGTCGCCAGAGACCGACGTAGGAACCCCCTCCAACCACAGCCTATTCACGAGCCAGTTTCACACCCAGTGTTCTACGGACTCGCTATTGCTACAATTCACAGACCTCTACAGAGCCCAGCTGTACTGGCGAGTCCTGAAGCTCTGGAGGGAAGGCACTGTCTCCACTTGTGTGCAACACCCCTAACATGCCTGCAGAGTTGCACATGGGAATTTAACAGGATTCAAGCTCCTGTTCTGCACAACACTGTTTTTGATTTGAGAAGAAAATCAAATGCAGGGAGGTACAAGCATGGACAGCTTGTAGCATACCTTTCACCAGCACCCATCTCTCATCACGTATAGCACATTACATGCAGACAGGCAAGCCACCCTGTGTGGAGCATCTGGGGAGCACTAAAACTACGCAGCTCCTTTTCCTGTCACATGTTAGTTTTCCTTCTGTATCTCAATGACATGGCCAGCAGCTGCTAAGTAACAAGGAGAAGAGCTTAGAGATTTTTCCAAAGGCATCTTCCCACCCGTCTTACGTTTGGTGACTGGCTGGTCGCCTGGTAACATTACACACACGGTATTTCCTCTTCATCTGCCCACAGTGGGTCACCTCTACTTTCAAACCTGATGCAAGAGATAGAACAAGTCTCTGGTAAATGCGAGGAGCGGCTGTGCACAGAGTTCATTTCCACTCAAATCCCTTCTACATTACACATACTTTAATTAACCCTCTGCAGACAGAACACGCATGCAAAAAAACACCCTAGGAAGCAAGCATGTGCTGACCAGTTAGGAGGTGCAAGAATGCTAAGAATTAAATTCAAGGCATGCCTATGCATCACACCTACAGACAGGAAGGGATTAACTGCCTTGCCCAAGGTCCCACAGAATTTGTAGAGGAGCTTGGATTAGATCCACAGTCTCCCAAGCCTCAGGCCAGAGATTTTATCATACAGCCCCTTTAAACAAGTCACTCTCTCTCTGGGGCCATTTCACCACCCACCCACTCACAGGGTGCAAACTGGTCCCCAGTGCTGCCTCGTCTTGTTACCTTTGATCTCCTTAGTGAAGCGCACCCTCTGTGAATCCGTCAGGGGCTTCGGCTGCTCGTCAATGTTCCGGATGTCCAGCACTTCGCACATGAACTCAATCACAGGCTGGGCTTTGTAGAAAGCCGTTGCCGACACTGCAAGGAAGTCAAGACACTAAGACTTCTCTCCCTTCCCTTTGTGGAGTAAAAGATCTACCAGAAGCCAACACAGCAAGCCCTCCTGCTTAAGGGCAGGTCCTCAAACACACTCCTTAACTGCTGTGTTGTGCTTGGCTTCTCCTGTCCCAAGTCTTGAGGGCCTACACCCTCCATGCACCATTCAGTCAGGAGGAGGCCCTATCATGCCAGGTACTGTACAACAGTCCTGGCTTGGATTTGTTGGTGCAAGCTCAATGCAAACACTTATTACCCAGCACCTAGAAGTAAACCCCACCTCTGCAGGAAGAACCTGGAGCTCTACAGCATTGCCTCTGTGGGCTATCATCACTGGTGCATCTGAACAGGAAGAGGGAGCTATGAAGTGGCACTGGGTTTTGCTGACAGTAAAAGCAAGTTACCATCAATGTTGAGCATCATCTTCCACATGGCAGGCCTGACGGACTGATGGAATCCAAACCAAACCTCCCTGCCCCCACCAAGGGGGTGGTAGTAACCTTCCGGGGGAGAGAAAAAGGAGCGGCCCACGGGAGTGTACCTGCAAGTCAGGAGAAATGATGCTGTGAATCATAAAACCTATGCCAGGAGCAGGGAACAAGGCAGC